AATATCACTTATCGATTCGATTTCTTATCCGTTTTAATTGGGTTCTCATTAGCTTCATCATTGCTAAGAAGCATATCAAAAGCATTGTTATGGGTTACATTACTTTTGTGTTTTTCTGTAAAATGACCTGAAACGCATTGTTTATATTGGTAAATAACCAATATAAACCTGAGGCCAACACAAATCCCTATTCTAATTAGGACACACATGACTTATTTTTTGGGTATGAACTCAAACTCGACAGTAGAAAGTAAAGACAAAAACCAGAACACAGAGACTTTAAAGCAGTCAGCACATTGATTGTACTTCAGAAACCTGAACAGGTAGAAACGGGCTGCCGCCTGACTGCTCATCACTGCGTTTTGTTACCTGTTGAAGTTCAGGGTGTGGCTGCTGGGGTGGGTTTTGCACAGATGACATGCTAGCACTGAGGTTGTGTTAGCAGCATAATGCAGTTTGCACTTTAACGTCATGCTCTACACTATTCTCCTCCTCCGGCAATGAACACTATTTTTGTGTGCAGAGGCAAAACTGAAAAAAAAGTGGCATTGTCCAAAAACGTGTGGAACTAGCTGCACGTCACATACTAGACAGGTGTTGGATAGCTGTCTCTAACCGTGATTAAGCTATGATCTGATTACATGCTGTTTCCATCTGCAGTCCATGATGGCTATAAGGTTGGCTCTGACATGACAGTCTCTCTGGAGTTTCAAACAAGTCAATCAGAAGGAGTGCTCCTGGGAATCAGCAGTGCAAAAGTCGATGCTGTGGGACTGGAGATGATCAATGGACAGGTGAGCAGAGATATTCCATTCTATGCATTATGTAAACAGTAATAGGCCTACACCCCAGGGATTTAATGATCTAACTGAGCAAGTTGCCACGTTTTCACGGTATCTTTCTAATAGCTGCAGTAACATCAGAGCTTCTGTTATTCTTGGTTTTTGACTAAAGTAATAGATGTATAGAAAAGGATTGTGCAAACTAAGTTTTAAATATGCAAATGAAGTTTTATTTGTGTAAATAAAGGTGTATCTGTTTTTCTCCTCAGGTGGTTTTCAACGTGAATAATGGGGCAGGTCGAGTGTCAGTGCGTTCTGGTGGCCAGATGCTATGTGATGGGCAGTGGCACCGCCTGCTGGCCCAAAAAACCAAACATGCCCTCAGCCTAACTGTAGATGAGCGAACTTACACCACTGCAAACCCTTACCCACAATCCACCTCTGCTGAAACTAATAACCCTGTCTTCCTGGGAGGATATCCAGGTAAGACCCTTTGAACATAAACAGAATTTTAAAAAAGATGAACACACCTAATAATAATTCTAACCTGTCCATCTCTCTGCTGTAGCTGGTGTCAAACAGAACTGCCTGTCATTGAGCTCCAGCTTCAGAGGTTGTCTAAGGAACCTGCAGCTCTTGAAGTCTCACCTGACCAAGACCCTTGATCTGAGTTCTGCTCACTTCCTGTTGGGAGTAACCCCTAACTCATGCCCCGCTTCCTAGCAGTGGCCAGAAAGCATGCCGGATTATGTCACAGAGCAATATCATTGATTGATGGGCTGTGTAGTGTGAATGTCTCTGCTGATTATTCCTGTGGATTTTGAGTCTCTGTAGTCCAAACTTGAATGATTAAAGTTCATCTTAAAACTAACATATTCATACTTTTTATTTTCTAAGCAGAGAAAGTTCAGTAACTTCTGCCTGTAAACATGAACAGTAATTAAACCACAGAAGAAACACATTCCTGGTGATCAGTTTGAGTTTTTGAGTAAAGGCACATTTTATATTTAAGCTCATCATTAAAAAGGAGGAGTCATCTGTCTGTAATCTAAGTAGCATTTTATGTTTAGACATCTGCTGCGGCCATCCTTTTCCATCTACCCATTTTTGTAAATACTAATTCACTTAGGTGGAGGGTCCAATCTATCCCAGAGGTAACATGAGTGATCGGTGGTTGGTACGACCCAGGGCAGGGTAATTTGAGAGTAATTCTAGTTTATTCTATTAAAGTGGTGTCAAACGAATTTCATATCTCAGCTATTAATGTCCCATCAGTGTGTTGGAGCTGATTCTTCAAAAAAAAAAAATAGAATATAATTTTATTTTTATATTTCAAAATCACAATAATCTTCCAATTTAGAACTACAAGTTAAAAAAGAACTAAACACAAATAAAATACACTTCAGCTAAATACTTCTAATTTATTTTCCCAAACCACCCGGAGCCGCAAAATAAAGACTAAAGAGCCGCATGCGGCTCTGGAGCCGCGGGTTGCCGAGCCCTGCCCCAGGTGCTGTCAGAGCAGGAGGAGATGTTCACACCTACGCGTCCAAACTGGCAAATGAATCGCGCATGAGCGAAGCCGCTGCTCCCGCCCTGACCGTAACGCAGTCAGTTCTTTTACTGTTACTTTTTGTGGCTCACATAGTTTAAAACTACTTAAAACACACACATACAAAAGTATCCATTTCGGGTCACTTTTGCCTGTCCCAAGCCCGGACAAAGGAAGACATTTGGAAGTGTGACATTAAAAAAACAAATAATTGCTAAAATAAATTTAATGTGTAGTTCTAAATATATTCTAAATGCATTTAGAGTGTTTTTTTTTAAACTCACTTCATGTCTCCTTCACGATGTTATTTCTGTATCCAACAGTAGGTTACAATTACATAAGCATAACCAATTAGGCAACTTAGGGATGACGTCATCTTGCGATTTCTAGCAACTTTTAGGACAGCCAATAGGGATTTTTCTTACTGAGGAGTTGGCAACACTGCAGTTGTTTGTGACACAACCCCCCTGCTGACAGCAAATAGCTACAACATGTAAACAATATTCTGCAAAGTGTAGGCTCTGCACTAATGCAAGACTGCATATCAGGGGGAGTGATCTGTATATAACACGAAACAAAGAGAGCAATGATCAGTGGGGATCTCTCAGTATGGTATTTCTGTAATGCCAGATTCACATGGGTGAATCTCACATGTCCTGGTTCTGCCCTGACCCGGTCAGCAATGAATTTGTCAAACTTCTCCATTGCTGCACCAATCAGTCTATCAGTCTTCCTCCATTCTCTCCTTACTCATGAACAGGACCCAAAGATACTTTAATTCCTCCACTTGGCAACAAGTCATCCCTGACCTGTTGTGGGTACTTCAACCGTCTGTGGTTCACCTTTGGAGATGTTAATGCTGCCGTCCATTTACCTCTGAAGTTGGATGTCAGAGCCAAGAGTGACACGACTCCTGAGTCGACAGCGCTTGGAAGCTGCTCCAGTAGTAAAAGTGATGAAAGATAGAATTTGTTTTGCTCTTGGTAAGCAATCTTGCATAACACCTGTTGTTGGTTTATTTTTATTTGTAGAGTCAGTTCTCTGTGCAAGACAACAGTACAGAGTAAAAGTTTAAGTTTTACTCCTGTTTATGTGCACTGCTACCATCCTGAAGCAAGATTCCAGTTGGAAAATCTGACTAAGAAAATGAAAAATACTGCAGGTTTTTTTCATCACTGCAGCCAGGCAGACAAAGTTGTTGAGCCAAGCATTCCTTTAACATTAATAATCATGAATTTCTTCATAAATAAAAGTTTACCCATTAGAGTAAACTGTATAACATCCCAAAGACATGTCATTATACAGCTACTTTAAATCCTATTGATATTTATTTAAACTGTTCTCTCCAGTTGATCTTTCTGAGTAATTTCAGTTACTGCTTCATTCAAGCCATTCAAGCTGTTCAAGTTCTATTAGACCAAAATGTCCAACAATTAATTAATGCTTTAATATTAAATATGATCAAAAACCTATGTATTCCAGGCCTTTAGGGTGGCTTTAATTGAAAACATTCCTGAAAAAGCCATCAGCTGTCTTAGGCCAATCTCCAACCTTCCTTTTATCTCAGACATTCTTCACAGAGTAGTTGTAAAACACTGATCGGATGGAAAGGAACGTTTTTTCTTTTGAAGAGTTTCAATCTGAATTCCAAATTCATCACAGTACAAAAACAGCACTTGTGAAGGTTACAAAAGATGCTCTGTTAGCCTCTGTTTCTTCACTTCTTCACATTTCTCACTCTCTGTGTCATCCTTATACACCTCTCTGCATTTAATCATTAGTTATTTGTAATCTCTGGTTCTCTTCCACAGCGTGTCTTTGGCCTGTGTTCCTCCCCTCATACCCACCCAGTCGCAGCAGATGGCCACCCCTCCTTGACCCTGGTTCTGCCAGATGTTTCATGTTGTTAAATGGGGGGGTTTTCCTTCCCACTGTTGCCAATGCAATTGCTCATAGGGGGTCACAGCTGGTTGTTAGGATTTCTCTGTTTTCTAATATTGTAGGGTCTTTACCTCCCTGTGGAAGACAAGGTCATTGAGGCAACTGGTTTAGTGCTATATAAATAAAAAGGAAAAAAGTGAATGGCTTGTTTTGGCAACATAGTGTATGTCATAAAAGAGAAACCCGTGTCTCCATTGTGGTCCCTCATTTGCGTCTTTATTTCTGGTTGACAGGGTCCAGATGCCAGACCTCAATACACAGCTGAAGATCGGTGAAATTTCCCTGCTTTGCTATGGTGTTGTCTAATTTAAAGAAAATGACTACACGGATCCATGTTATGGTTTTGCTGTTATACCTGATGTTTTTAGATTCGCATTATGTTTCAATAATGTATTTCACAGTATTTCATGAGTATTGAGCTCATTTTCAACGTTTTACAGTATAAGCTATAACAAGCTATAAAGAGTTTCACAGCATGAGCAGTGCCATTGGCCGACCTTAGCTTTCACAACTTTTAAACGATGCAATAGGAAACCTTTCTTTGGTTCACCATTTCTGATCTATGGAGACTGCATCCTTTGTATACAGTATCATTTGAAGTATTTAGCCGCTGAATTGGGACACGTCTGTCTCTTATACGTCGGTAAACTTTCACAAAGAGGTGATGGTCAGTTTGATACCAGGGAAGCAGAAGTCTCTAATACAACAGAGAAAGTAGTCGGTAATCAGGGGCTGTGATCAGTTTGTAATTTAATAAATAAATGGATACAGAAATCAAAAACACACACACATGAATGATTCATCGTCATTTTCGTGGAAGGTTTAGCGAATGGCACATTACTATTGCATTATGGGTAAATTCAAAGCAGAGTTTTAGCTGTTTTTTCTTGTTAGACAGGAAACTGTTTTGATCAGCTGGTGATAGTACGCATCAAGTTTCTCACCAGGTAAAGCTCGAAGCACTATCTTTCAGATGTCAGGCTAAATGTTTTGAAAAGCTGCTGTCTCCCAACAATAGAGGAGCAAGCACACCTGAGTCAGCTAGCCAATCAGATGCCCACCTTAGAGTGTTGGGGAATGAGGTGTGGGGGAAGGCTTATATAAGTAAATGCTTCAGAAGCTGATTCATAGTGAAGGTCCAGTGTAGGTTGTCTGTTGCTATGGAAACACGTCTTTCTCTCCCATCTCTGCGTTGCATGTGAAACTTTCAGTTAAATCTACTCATCTAGTCACACTATCGAACTAATGCTAACTCAGCCATTGGTTCCACCCCCTGTGAGATAGGCAGGCGATGCTGTATATATGTGTGTCCATGCATGAATGTGTGTCCAAATCCTCAGTTCATCCATGCTCGGTGGATGCTGCAGCCAACAGTTTTGTTTCTGGCAATGCACTCTATACTAAACCCCTTGGGCGTCCAGATTCAGTCCTGAAAATGAGACAGAAGGAGCAGTGAAAAGACCCAGGAAAACCGAGTTAACAATAAAAACGATAACAAAATAACCCTGAAAACTATACATTTCACACCTGAGCCTCAACTCTCGCGGCCTGGTACCAAACGACTCACGGACCGGTACCAGTCCGAGGCCCGGGGGTTGGGGACCGCTGGTCTAAGGCACACGATATTCATGCTGTCTAATCAGCACCTTGACATGCCACACCTGTGAGGTGGGATGGATTATCTCGGCAAACGAGAAGTTCTCACTAACACAGATTTAGACAGATTTGTGAACGATATTTGATAGTAATGGGTCCTTTGTGTATGTAGAAAATGTTTCAGATCTTTAAGTTCAGCTCGTGAAAAATCGGAGCAAAAACAAAAGTTTTGTTCAGTGTAAGACATGCATGTTAGGTGATTCCAAATTGGTTGCAAATGTTGTGGTTAATTGCTTAACTCATTCACTGCCAGCCATTGGCAGTGAATGAGTTAAACCCATTGACTCATTCACTGCAATTGACGGCTATAGACGTCAATGGCAGTGAATGAGTTAAAGTGCATAAAATAAAATGCTCTGTGTATGAGTGAATGAAGCTTGCCGTTTCTTTAACTTTTTAACAACCCTTCTGTCCTCATCCCTTGAACACACCATTACAGAAACAACAACATTCAAGTTACCTGGTTGTGGTCAACTTCTGTATCTCCAGAAATCACAATCCTCTTTTCTATTCTGGTTTCAGAAATCCCCCCTTTTGCCATCTGCAGAAGAAAAGGGAGAAACATCCGAATTCAGTCAAGCGTCTTTATCTTTCACATATGTCTTCTATGCCCTACCTTTTCTCAGCTTTTTAATGCTGTTTGTAAACCCTTAATAGTTTCAACAAACCTTTTCAGCCATGACAATATTACCATGGTTTGCAGTGGGATTTCTTAGGTTATGGTTTTACCTGGGTGACACGTGTGGGGCTCATGTAGTAGCAGTAGTGCTCCCATAGTTATCATGTCATTTTGTTGATGGGTGTGTGGTGGTATTGCCATGGCAGTAATGTAAATCTTGCATATTATGGTGGTACCTTGGTCCTGTGTTACCTTGGTGATGTGAGTGGTGGTAGTGGTGTTGGAGGTCTCGGTAGTGTAGCTGTGTGAGCTCAGCAGCAGACCAGCAGGAGTATCAGATTCTCCTTGGCTCTGAAACAAGTATGAACATCAGCCCATGAGGAAGAGTAATAACCAAATACCAGCACATTTTTGTACTGATGAAAAAAAAATGTTGAGGATAAAACACAGGATGTCAGTCTGGGGAAAAATATTTATGTATCCATCTATTTCTGGTACTACTCATATTAACTTCACATCTTTTGATTGATTAAACTACGCAGTAAACTTTTACATCACTTCAAAGTAATCCTCTGAATTCTTTTCACCTAATTAAATAGTACAAACTGACCTCTTAAACTAAACACTTAGTCTTCCTCATTCCCAGAGTGTTTATCTTTCTAATCAATTGAACCCTTTACAGCCAGCACCAGCACTGGTTAAGACATCCTGAGGTCTCAAACTGAGTGTTCTTGCCTTTATCATCTTAATATTCTGAAACAGGTAATGCTGAGCTAAAAGGGGGTCTAGTTCTTAGCCAATGGTCATACTCTAGTTTACAAATTAATGAATTTTGTCTTCACAAACTAGCCACTGAGCCCATAAAGTCACCAGGAATAAATAAAATTACTAACATTAAGAAGCAAGAGAGCCGAGGGAGGTTTTCCCACAAACCTCTTTAAAACCACTCATAAACCTTTTGCAGTCGAATGAGATGTTGCTTGGTCTCCATATTGACTTCCCTCTCAAGACTCAGATTGTATATCAGATGGGCATAGCTTCTATGTTTTAAGCAAAATTAGGAAAAACGGGAAAGTCGGCCTAGAGTTTGAAAATATATCAAACTCTCGTCTGACTGACATAATATTTCGATGTATTCATGTGAACAGAGGGTAGATTAGATTTTAAGGAAGAAATGGGCCAAAGGTCACTGGGTCAGGTGGGGTAGGTGCAGTTTCAGGGTGGTGAAATGGGGCAAGGGTAACTAGTATAGGAGTCGCAGATGCCATTTGGGCAAGTGTCTCAGGTGTTACCTCCTGTAGTGGTTTGAACTCATCGTCATCCCTGTGGGCAGATGGTTGCATCTGATGGGCCAAGTGCCTGGATGTGGGATGGAGTAAAGAGGGCGGAGGGGAGTTTTCTTCAAACTGCCACCCTCCTTCATCTTCCTGTGAGTCGTCTGAGTCTTCGTTGTCAGTGTAATGCAGAGTCCCAGGTGTTTGAGAGTCCAGGACAGAGCTAGCTTGCTCCTGTTCACAAAAGCTAACTGCTATCTTGTTGTTAATGTTATCCTGATTAGTGTCATTAGCGTTGGGGGCCTGAGTCTCTCTGACTGCAGCTTCGATGGCCTCCTCCACTGCTGCCTGTACCAGCACACTGACGGCATCCTCACTAATCTCACTAGCACTGTCATCGCTAGCCTGGCTGCTGGGCTCGTAGCTAATATCATCATCATCATCACTTGTTGGACTATTAGCCCGACCATCATTAAAACTGTCACAGGCCCATTGCTGTGTGCTATCATCAACACCTGCTGGGTTGGCTGGTAGATTACCAAAGGGCATGCCCACATGACTTTCTTTTGCTACCTTTTGCTGGTCCACCATTGCCTCGTCCTCGTCATGTGGCTCTGTCACCAGCATTATTGTCTCCACCTTCTCTGAAGTCTGAAAAACGAAGTGAAATCACAGAACATTAGGTGATTATTTTAACAAGTGATGTCTCCTTGATGATAGTGCTGCACATGTGTGTCATTCTGCTGCAAACCGATTTGAAGGACTGATGTAAATGGCAGTTCTTTGTGAATTGAACTGAACTTCCCGAAATACAGAGGTTAAGCAATATTTGGTGATTATTCATAGAGTAGGAAATGACCCCACCAGAGTCCAAATGCTGGTGGTGCTGGAGATGGCATGACATGGACATAACAGGTTAGCTATGGCATAATATATGAAAGGAGTATCGACATAACTAACTGAAAGGAGTATGGTGTAGAAAGGGCGGAAAGCTGTTGAAGGCCAGGAAATAGAACAGAAAGCCTACGATGAAGGTTTGGTAAACAACTGCCTGCCAGTTACCCCAGTACCCCTCAAAACGTGTCCACAGCACTATATGTGTGTAGAATTTCACCAGTAATAAAACAGCAAGGACCAGAACTTTAAATCTGTGCATAAACCTTTTTCAAATGAAACTGTGACCAGCAGATTGGGTACTGAGGAGCCTCGACTGAGTAAGTGACACACATGACTTTACTTGCTTACATTTAAATTATGTGCCTCTGATATTAGTTTTGAACAACCACGCGCCACTGCCAGCTAATTTTATCAGTGAGATGGACTGTACACTAAAGTGTGATCCAGTAACAATCTGAATATGGGCAAGCTGGAAAAGATGACCTGTTAAACAGGGTTGTTGTTTGCAGTGTGGAAACACGAGTTTGTGAAAGTGAGATCAGAGAATGAGGCGATGTAGGATTTTGAAATTTACAACATAGGTCCATCTTCTAAAAATCTCAGATGAATTCGAATTTTACATGCACTAGAAATCTTAGACCAGTCCTGGTGTCCTTGACCCCAAGGTAAGATTCAGGGGTCAAGTTTTCTGAAAATCTTGTGACTGGAATAACGGAGGAGGCTGAGGCGTAACACTGGCAGTCACTGTTATTTTTTAAAATGAAATTAAATTCAGTTTTATTTACAAAATCAAATCACATAAATGGTCACCTCAATTTACGTATTTCTTTCCCAGAGCTGTGAGACCAATTTATGCTCTTTAACAGCACAATTACAATTCTTACATAAAAATAAGTCATGCATGGTCTAATAACAACAAACCTTTGTCATAGTCCACGTATCAAAAGAGCTACAAACAGGTGATCTTTTAATTCATTTGCTGGAACGTGAACGCTGAGATGAAAAATGTATTCTTGAATTCTTTATAATTAGACTCTTAAACAGTGCTAGTTATGTGTTAAGCTCGAACTAGTTAAACTGTGCACTTCAGGATCTGAGGATTTTAAATTAATTTATTTTACTTGTAATATTTTTGTGAATATGTAGCCTTGAAAATGAAAGGACAGCTTAGAATAACCAGAAACCACTGAGGTGAGTATGAAGAGGGTGAAGCAGCTGCTACAGGGTCATGGAGCAGATCGGTATCAGGGTTGTTCTTTATGATCTTGCTAGAGGATGCAGGGGAGTGTGGATGTCTTGCAGGGATGTCATAACAGCCTGGAGGACATGAATCAGATCAGTACTGTTGGTGAAGGGGCAAGGAGAACCCATGCTCTGCTTATGTCCTTAGTGTTAGAACTCGGACCAATAATTGTGGCAATGGAGGGTTCTTGAGAAGCTGAGATAATTTGTTGCTCAGAATTCACAAACCTGGAGACTGAGACTAGCTTTTGAAACTTTAAAGCATTGAGATGGGATGCTGGATTTCTTTTACTGGCTGAGAGAAGCTGCAGTGAGGAGAACTGATTGTAGGTTTGACAAGATGCGGTGCTGGTTCTCATACATAAGAACACTGAGATTAAATCCACAGAGAAAAGAGACTTATTAACTCACAGAAGGCAGGCAATAAAATACCTGAAAGAGGAGTTAAAGAGAGCCAGACAAAAATACAACTGGACAACAAGGAAGACAGCTAGTGAAAAAGGCACCTTGAGCAGGTCGTGTTCTCTGAAGGTTTGTTGCTCTCTGGCTGATTTCAGCAGAGCTGTCAGCTCAGGAGACATATCATCAAATGTAGGTTTAGGCTGCACATATCAAACACACAAAAAACAACAGTTACAGTGAAAACAAAGAAGAAACTTGTAATTAAAAGTCTCAAAATAAAACTCCAGCCATGCAGGGGACACTGTGGAGCCATGGTGGGCTTATTTAAAATAGCCTTGAATTATGTTGATATTTTCCTATCTAAAGCCTCCTCGTCTTCCTGCCTCAGTTTGCAAAATGCATCCGGAGGAGAGGACCTTGATGGAGGAGCTATGGGTAAGAATGTACAAGTATGTCTTTGTTAATTATAATACCACTGTTAGTGGTATTATAACAAGGTGGAAGCAGCTGGCAATGACAGCAACTCTGTTTTAAAGCAAAATCAGAGATTCTCATAGTGCACAGAGGTCGCCAACTTTCTGCAGAGACAACTAGTACAGACTTCCAAACTTTATGTGGCCTTCAGATTAGCTCAAGAACAGTTCATAGAGAGCTTAATGGACTCTCTAGAGTACCAGATGGAGTGGTGTAAAGTGCATGGTCTCTGGAGTTACAAATCACACTGCTCCATCTGACAATTTCAACTGATGAGTCTGAGTTTGGCGTTTGGCAGATGCGTTTATGGTGTGGGGTTGTTTTTCAGGTGTTGGGCTCGACCCCTCTTCTTAAGTAACTCTTCAGACATTTTGGACAATTTCATGTTCCCACCTTTATGGGAACAGTTTTTGGATGGCTTGTTCCAGCATGATTGTGTACCAGTAAACAATGCAAGGTTCACAGAGCCATGGATGAGTGATTTTGGTGTGGAGGGACTTGAACAGCCTGCACAAAGTCCTGAGCTCAACACGACAGAACAACATGAATTAGAGTGGAGACTACAAGACAGTCTTTCTCATCCAGCATCAATGTCTGACCTCACAAATGCACTTTTGGAATAATGGTGAGAAATTCCCATGAACACATTCCTAAATCTGGTGGAAATCCCTTTTAGAAGCCAGGCTGACACAATGTCAGAACTCTGCGAGCCAAGTATTCCTTTGGCTTTAACTCATGTATAACAGCTAACTGATCATCTGCAGAGGAATTTTATTTGAAGAGTTACAGTTTCAGAGCTCATCACAGCACAGAAACAGCTTTAGTGAAGGTTAAAATGATCTTTTTGTGGCCTCTGACAGTGGACTCATCTCTGTGCTTGTCCTGCTAGACCTCAGTGCAGCATTTGATACTGCAGACCATAATATATCATTACAGCGATTAGAGCATACTGTAGTCAATATCTCTGAAATTAGAAACATCCTGTGTCAGAGTGATGTTAGGCAGTCTTTTAGGCTAGACTACTGTAATTGATTATTAACAGGATTTCTTAAAACATCCTTAAAAAGTCTTCAGTTGATTCAAAAAGCTTCAGCAAGAAAACTGACAGACTGGCTTACTTGTGGTTGCTATATTAAGGCTTATAGAAAATATTAAATTTCCTTTAAAAGAACATGAAACAGAGTTTGTCCTGAAGATCTATATTTCTTAATGATGCTCATTTGGTAAATAGACTGGTTCTTATATAGCGCTTTTCTACTCTTCTGAGCACTCAAAGCGCTTTACACAAGCACATTTTTTCTAGGTGCTTTCTAAGTAACATCACACACTCTGATGGATGCATCGGAGAGCAATTTGGGGTTAGTATCTTCCCCAAGGATATTTGGCATGCAGACTAGGGGAAGCCAGGAATCGAACCACCAACCTTCCGATCAGTAGATTACCTGCTCTACCACCTGAGCTACAGCCACCCCTTTGGGAAAGTTCACAATATAGTAAACTGTAATGTCAACTAGACACTGGGGTGGTGTAGCTCAGATGTAGAGCAAGCCATCTATTAATTGAAAAGCTGGTGGCAAATATCCTTGAGTAAGTTATTAACAAGTTGCTCTTATTCATCCATTAAAGTGTGAATTGGTAAATGTAAATGTTAGAACTTATACATAAAAACAAATGCTGTTGTGAATGGGTGAAAGAGGGATGTTGTACAAAGTGCTTTGAGTGCTCAGGTAGAGTAGAAAAGAGCTGCATAACAACCAGTCCAATCATTATTTACATTAATAAACAATGAAACAAAAACAAGACAATCCCCACCTAACTAGTTCTTTCTCTTCCAGTCTTCATCATCTCCCCTCAGTTCTAAGCACTCCTCATGAGGCTTCTTAAACATCAACGTTACAGGATTAACAATTAGTTTGGACTTTTAAATAAAAGGATTACGGGTAACTTCAGAATCCCTAAGTTTGCTTTAAGAATAAGTCCAATTTGCTCTAAGAGAAAAGTGTCTTTGGCTCAGGGTTGGACACTTTTTTTGTTCCAACAGAATTAATTGATCAGTAGTGGTTCTCTTATCAAAGTGTGCCATGGCAACACCAGTGGAACTGAGCCACTTTGGTGACAAGGTTAAACTTGCATTTACCTTGCTAAACTTCTAATCCTGCTTTGTGGTACAGGCCTCATGAAGTACTGAGACAACTTATTATGAAATCTCTCATTGTGGTGGATTTGTGACTTGCTGTCTCTTTGCTTACACCTCGCATGGACAGGAATGTTAATAAAAAGGCAGCAGCTTCCAACAAAGTAAAAAAGCATTACAAAGTCAAAGTAACCAACCAAAACAGAAGTGAAAAATAGCAGTAAAATGGAGTTAAGCCACACCCCCAAGCTCACGAAGGATAAATAAACAACATCAAACAGAAGAAAACAACTAGAAAGATCAGCTTCCTGTTTTCCATTTTGATCAAAGGAGAAGACACAAAATGGTTTCTGGGAGGAGGTGAAGCAAGAAGCTGGGCAGAGTTTAAACTGAACACTGCAGCTCACAGGTGCCGCTTCCTGGAGAAGAAGGAAACCCAATCAAAAACAGAGAAGGACCAGCACCACTAGATTGGATAAGCTCTGTTGTGATTGATTGCTACATACTCACTGACCATCTATGGCAGACAATGAAATAGGATGAAAGCACTATAAAAACAGTAATATCAACAAGTCACACTTTTCCATTTAAGTTTTTTAATTTAGAAGATTTGTCAGCATCAGGACACCGTCGCACATTTCTTTTAGATGGGTAGAGGAACCTGCTGGAATCATGTAATTTTTAAATAAGAAAAACTTTTGGTTTTTTAAAACTACCTGTCAGCAACAAGACCGTCTAAGACACACATTACGTGGAAATCAGCTAATGCCACAAAAGATGCAAAACAACCAATCACAACAGAGCAGAACATCCATTATGATCTAATCCAGCATCAATTGTGATTAAAATCCTGTAATCAATTTTTTCTGATGGAAAATCAACTTTTCTGCAGCATCTCCTTATCAGACCACCAGGAGACCTAGTTCACCAGGTGGAGATCCTGGTCTCCTGATACTCTGGTCCCTCAGATATCTACAGTCTTTTGGAGCTCAAGACATTCAGTTTGAACTAGCTCAGACGAGCCAGTGTTAAGCCACGCTTCCTGTGTCAGTGCTGCAGAGGTTAACATTTTGCTGCCAGGTTGTTGTTTTCATGCTTGTTTTCATGCTGACCACCAACCAACCAATCAGCATACCACTGCTGCCATGAAAGGTGATTTCCTGCCAGAGATGGGGCTTAGCTTGTCCAGTGAGGATGTAGGGGTGGCAGGGAAGGACTTCACAGAGACTCTGGCCCCACAGAAGTCGAGACCTTCAGCCACACTAATCATTTGTCTGTTGTCAACAGGTGGCAGGTCCGAAGGTGAAGTCGGAGTCTTTACCTCAGGGATGGCAATCAGCGGTCCCTCTGTGATGTCATCGTCAGCAGTGAGCTGTGAAATGTGTTGAACTTGTTGGCAGGGTTTGACACTTGCTGTTGTCATGGTAGCATCAGAGCTGTCATCCATGATCGTCATGGTAAAAACCCTGCCAGAGACTGTGCAGTAAGTCTGCCCCACTGTGTAGCTCTTCTTTTTGAATGGCCGAGGAGGAGCTTGGTTTGTCATGAACCCGCCCTCCTGGAGCGCACAGGTAAGCAATATTAAATAAGCACAGACTCAGCAAGAAATCATGTGACATACGAGACCAGTTTCCTGAGCGCAAAAGAAAGATATAGCCATCATGACAGCAATAATCCAGTCATTTTGGACTTTAAAGCATAACACCTGATTTGGTTGCTGCCATATTTCTTTGTTTTTACTTTGATTGTTGCTAGAAGTTACTATGTTTTGTTGAGAGGATGTAGTGGTTAGATGTAGTGTTATAAACAAATAATACAAACAACACAAGCTTCATACATACTGTAAATGGTATGAGTGCTACTGGCTAACTAGTGCTAAATTACAGACTAATAAAACAGTAGAATTTCATTCTCTGAAACTATAGTGAAACTGGTTGGGCCGTAACACAATACACAAATCCAGTGGGAAGGCCCAGTTTAATGACTCAAAGTAGTAGCGGTGAAGCCAGACAGATGCAGATCAGCTCTGTCTGCCTGTGTGAATGTTGAACGGGCAAGATACTGAACGCCATCTTTCTCACCAAGGCTTATCCAAAGTTTATTTGATATCACATTGAGGTTTTATTCAAGTTCCACCAGTTTCAGCTTAAATTCTACTGTTGTTGAGCTGAAGAGCAACTAAACTTCTAGGAAGTTTCTACTGATCGTAAGGGTCATAAATCAATCAGCTTTGAGATACAGATCAATATTTCCCGTTTATAACTGGCAACAGGAGGTAACAACAAGCACATAGACATGTGACCTGTAGATCTATTTTCATCTCCTGCTATTGGGGGTGGAAAGCTTCTCTGTTTTCCTCGGGGCTGGTTAACTTGGGCCCATGAAGAATTTTCAAAACTATTGAGACAGTCTAAATGTCTGCAACCCCGACATCTGAAAGATAAGATTGGGATTAGTTTTCTTATCAACATGCTAACAGCAAATTGGGATAATGGCACCGGCTCCTGTAGTGCAACACTTTTATGCAAGTGAGCACAGCTTTACACACACATCACCAAAAAAAAGGTACCTGGAAAAAAAAACAGTTTAACTTCAAAGATGTGTGTTGTAAATATTCAACCCACAAACTGTGGCAATGTACTACATCACAATCAATGGAAAAAATTCCAAGTCACAGCACTGAAACAACATTTACCAACTGCAGGTGTCTGTGAACCCAATGCCACAAGATAACCCATCCATGACTGTCTCACCTCATCGGGCTCCAGAGGTTCAATCATTGGGGAGTCATCGACCCTTCGGAGAGGTGACGAGGCCAGACGCTTCTCCCACTCTGTCATTCCTCCTCCTTCTCCTTCTCCTCCCTCTAAAAAGGAGCGTCTGAGGGCACTGATGGTGCTCTGAGGTTTCTGCATCTCCTCAGGACTACCCTAAAGACAGGGAAGAGGGGGGGGGATGTAAGATGAGACAGAAGACATAAGTGAGGACAGAAGAGGGATCAACACATATGAAGAAAAAATAGTTCAGGTGTTACCTGAGTTTTCAAATCTTCATCTTGGTCAGACTGTCAGATAGATAGGTAGGCAGAGAGACGGGTTATGTTAACAAGTCTTTCCACAATGGAATTATTAACCATACGATCACAGATGTGTACCTCAGTAGCTGTCAGGTCTTCGTCCACAGCAGTATCAGTTAGCTCAGTCTGAACAAGAAAAAGTAAGTAAGCAAAAAAACCCAAAAACGTTTAAGTTGAATTATCAGTGCAAACATAACCTCCAGATCAAAACCAGTTAGTTCGCCTTCTGCTGTGAAATGAAGTGTGGTAGGATCTGAAATAGTTTCAAAGAGCAACTTGCAGGTTTGGGACCTCAGAGGGAAAATCAAGCAATGAGGCAAAAATGCACATATTGAAATAATCCTTTTAAAGTTGTTTTTGTAGCAGAGTTTCTGTCCACCTCTGCTTGACTGCAACAGGAGAGAGAGTAGCTGATGAGGTCGATATCAGCAATAGGAAATGGGTTTTTGTTAAACTGTGTCTCTCACCCACCCATGACACTAGTGAAAGAACTACACCAGCTATTAGTATCATACAGTTCTGGCTTCTAAATTCTAATCAAGGCTTCATACATCCAGGAACTTAAATTAACCGCGCATGTATTTCTTTCATGACTGAAACAGCAGCAGAGTCCTTTCTTCCCCTGCACAAACCACCAAATAACTCTCTTGCAAACCATGTAAAATGCATGTGTTCACTTCCAAACTGATTCCTAACAAATATTATATGCAAATAAAGAGAATCTTTTACCTGCCAGCTGCTCTTTAACCGAGGATTCAAATGGTAAAAACATCTACTTTTGTAAAAACTAAATATAAAGTTGAGCACATAGAGAACTTCAGTAGGAATGTCAGATTATTATTACGTTTGTATTATATGTATTTTTCTGATTTTACCAGCTGCTGGGAGTAACGCAAACTTGATTTAATGAGAAGGATGGCACCTGTATGGGGTTAACACACCATTTTAAATGTTTGTGGGCCTTCATGGTTTCATGGTTCTGGGTGATTTTGACCCAGCATTTTTAGTTTCTTGGATTTTGTTACTATTCTGTATCCTATGTTTCAGTTTAATTCTGGTTAAGAGTTTAGTGTAGGTTTTGTTCAGTGTCTGTGCCTGTTGTGTTTCCTGTTTTACTTTGAAAGTCTGTGTCTCATGTCAGTGTGTCTAGTTTTGCTTCCCTTGCCTCGTTAAGTTTGATTTCTCCCAGCTGTATTTAAGCCCTGTGTTTTCCTTGCCCTGTGTTGCGTTGCACTCACATTATTGTTTCGTGTTTCTGTTTGTTCCTGTCCCCAGTTTAGTGTTTGAAGGTTTTGGTTTATTTTGTAAATATTATTTCCCATGAAGAGTTTGTTTTCCCAGGATTAAAGCTGTGTTTAAGGTGGATCGGGGTGTAGGTGGATCCTACACCCTGCCTGCCACACAGCACAACATGAAACATGGGGCCCAAAATCTAGTTTTTCACACAGCAATAGAAAACTGGTCAGTTTGGGTTGACAGGTGAGACAATTACTTTGGTGTCTATTTTCTGAGGAGTGAGAGTACTCTGCTGTGAAATCTCTGTTTCTTTGGTTTCCTCTTCCTCTTCCTCTTGCTCCTTTTCATTCACATTCTCCACTTCCTGCACCTCCTCAACTAGGGTGACATAGGAAAAAAAGAGAAGTTTGTGCAAGGTCTTAGATAATTTGACAGATTAAGTATCTGGTTCAAGATCAACCACAGACATTGTTTCTTACCTTGAACTTCACTGCTCTCTTCCATTCTCTTCTCAGGTGTTACTGTTGTGATGAGGTCACTGATGGCGATGGCTTTAGATGCTCCATACAGCCCAGAACCCATATCTATATACACACACAGAAGTGCACCAGCCCTAATGTCATCACAATAACATCAACAGGTACAACAGTAAAGACAGCAACCACTATGATGCTCATTCAAGCTGTGTTTGTTCTCATCAGCAGCAAAGCATCACGACTTCTCTGTCAGAGTAATGGCACACTCAGCCAATTAACAGCTCAGGGTGCATGCACAGTAGCCTGGGCCAATCAACATTCAGAACCACCACCAAGCCATGACCGCATATTATTTTGAATATCATGGCTCATTGAGCTCTGCTAGCTGTGTGGTTAATGGGGCTAATAACTAGTGTCAACATGACCGTGCACTGAGACTGATAAATTCTGTCAGATAATTATCTGGACATCAAAATATTGGCAACAGGTTTATTTGAGCGATATGGTTGTTTAACCTTACATGTGACAAACATGTAATACTTTTGCATTCTGCTGAAAACAGGATGCAAGTCTGAGGGCATGTGAGCAGAATGAACAGAAATGTACAGCTGTTATCAGGTGTATCGGAGTGAAGCAGAGTAACCAAGTACACGGCATTCCTGAACAAGCTGAATAAAGCGATCGGAGCCCAGTCACAGAGCAGTACCACAGCAGCCAGTAGCAGTGCAACTGCAGTATTGAGCACTACCTGTGTGAGTGCCACCATTGACTTTTGGGGAAGCTGTGATGGCTTGAGAGACAATCGGAGAGGAGGTAGGTCCAGTCTGTGAAGCTGAGAACCAATCACAAACTGGTCAAATACTGAGGAAGAATGAACTAATCAGTCAGTGCTGAACCTAAACATAAGGCTAATGGGTTAGCGAGGTATGCTAAACCTAGAGTCAGAGTTCTTAGCATCAGGATGGTTGCTTGTTTTCAACCTGGCTAGAACTCTAGAGTAACTTATGCTGACCAAGTTTATCTTTATGCAGGTTTATAATGGAGTATATAGGAAACAAAAACAGGATATAAATACAATAATATACCCCCATTTAAACCAAAAAAAGATTTTCTCCTGGACTGTACATACAAATTACACTTAAAATTATGCAGTAGGCATAGAGCCAGTGCCTAACAGTCTTCTTCATATAACTCATTTCAGTCTGATTGAAAGAGCGCCAATTCACAACAGCCGTTGACTCAATGTCCCACAATACTGGAGAGAAAACTCCAAAGAACAGACAATCCTATGTGAGCAAGTACTTGGTGACAGTGTGGAGGACGAACTCCCTTTTAACTGTCCGAACCAGGAAGGGCAGCCATTTGTCACAAACAGTTGTGAGGTAAGGGGAAAATTAAGAGGGGGGGAAAAGTATAGGTAGTAAGCATAAAACAGAGTTTATGGTAGAGAGAAGACAAACTCACAATACAATGCAACAATGAAACCCATTATTCCAAATGACTTGTGCTGGTCATGAGCAGTTTGCTACTGGATTGAGCAAAGGATGTGTTCACATGGTGAAATGTGACTGTGGCTCACTGCATTTGTGCAACAATTGGAAAGAAAGAATGACATGGCGCATACACACATAGAAAACATAGACACAAACCTTGGTTCAGTTACTTAACCAGCTGTCAGCACAGTGCATACTACTCCACACAGAACTTTGATAATACTGCTCAAGTCATTTTGACTTTGCTGAGCTAGCTAACACAAAAAAATATCCATATGTTTTTGTTATGTGGCTTCACAAAAATCCAGTAACCAAGATTACAATTAATACTTATAAAACAGCGAGTACCATATTCATATAAATGGACAATGTTGGTACAACATTAAACAATATGGACTGACCTAGTTGGCCTTGGAAAGAAAAACAAACTCATAGTTCAAATTCCCCATTCCTCCTTTGTAGTACAGGTCTAGTACTCGGAATATTCCAGTAAATACAAGGAAAAATTTGACTTCCAAACTTGGTACAGTTGGATGCACTATTGCCACTAATATTACTACTTGGACCAGTATGATACAGCTAGAGCTATAGTGACCAGTTCTCTCATTGCAAACTGTTTACAATGCGCAATACTAATAACCCATATTAACCCTGTTAGCACTCTGGGAAACATAACTGATGCAGAATTCACGAGTACCTCCATCTAAACTGCGGCTCAACATGCTCCTCTTGCTGATACATCGTGGGAAATGCGGTGCTGGTCTGGATATCTGAGCACTGGCTCTGCGACTCTGAATCTGAGTCCGACCGCTGTAACGAAACTTTGAACCCAGAGTCAGGAACTTCTTAGGAGTTTCTTCTGGTGATAATAGCCTGAGAGAGGAGAGACACACAGGGAAGAGAATAAGATGGAGATGAGCAAGGGGAGATGAGATGAGGAGAATTTGAAAAACAAGCACACAGACAGGGTGGAGGGCAGGCCAGAGAGAAGTAAGGAGACAAAAGATGGCTGTCACAAAACTGATCGCATGATTTCTGAAACAAACCACACGTTGTGACATGATGTTGACTGACCTGAAAAAGGAGTGATGTTCCACACACACCTTCCAGAGTCTCTTAGCAGCTCTATGGTTGAACAGCTTAAAACCAATGGTGGACTCAAACTGCTCGAACTGAAGACGGGGAGAGACAGATTATTTATCAACATCTTAGCTTTAAAATAAACCCATCAGTAGGTGTCACTCTCGCACATCCTATACCAATATCACTAAACTAAATTCAGACACATTTTGAATGTGATGTCTGAATAAGGTGGGGTGTTTCTGGTTTACAAGCCTCTACAACATTCTTGCAGGTCTGGAGCAGTAACTCTGGACGGGGAGACTGGAGGCGGGGTTCCTCTTTTCAGGAAAGAGGCCCAGAGAATGTGTTCCAAATTTCAGGGGATCATACGTCTTAGTCTCCCTGGAATAATCTGTGCCAGGGTCTCAGGGAGGAGTGTCCGTCCATCAGTTGTAGTGATTAAGAGCAATGGGTGTGGACCAGCTCTTGACCTTACTCAAGTGTGCACGGGAGTTCAGCGGCGGCTGATGGACTCTGCCAGAGCTGCTCTTTGTCAAAGATTCTCTTTGTAATTTTTATGGAAAGAATTTCTGTGTCCAGCCAAGCAGCAGAGGATGGTCTTAACCATGGTCTGTGGTCTAGTCTTCATATGATGAACTTCAATTAGCAGTGAAGTGGTGTGTATCTGAATATAAACCACACTGGTGAGAAACATCCAAGATTAAGGCCCTGGTCCTCAGATAGAAAACGGTTCCACGCCCACTCTGGGTTTGGAGTGAGTGGAAGAGTTTTATCATTTTCAGCTCTTTTTTTTTTTGTGAGGTGGGAAGAGTGGAGGGCGGTATTGACAGACAGAAGGATCTGCAGTAATGTGAACTCTCTAATCTGCTGTTGTGGTGTGTGACCTGGCGTCCACATATGTGGACATCACATTTTGGGTTATTTAGACCAAAATACTCAATTTTGCTCTGCAAGGGCCTGATATCCACTTACGAGGACATTATCCTGCTACTGTTCTATCAAAATTTTAAACGAATATCCTCATATGTGGCTCTTATTTTTCTTAAAAACAAAAATAAGGTAAAAAAAAAATCTGGTAATTCTTTGTTTTTGCATTCATCGGGCCCCAATCAGCCCAAATATCAAAGAGAAATTAAAAATGCTGCTGTGGAAAAGTTCAGGTCTTAGGAGGTTAAATCAAAACTTTTGATTTACTGGTTGATCTACGTTCCAGTGTTCACCTATGGTGACAAACCAATAAGCTGATACAAGCAATGTAAACAAGTTTTCTTTGAAGTGTGTCTGTGCTCAGCAATAGGATGAGCAGCTCAGCCACACTTGTTTATTTGTAACCAGGTTAAAAGTGACTCCCACATTGCGCACTGTGCAAACAGTTTCACTCAGGATTTAGAGTCCACTGTAATACAGACACAGCACTAGAGAAGTTTACGAATGACCTAATTCTTTTTAAGCAGGAATACGCAGCATGTTTATTTTGCCACTCCCTGAATTTTTTCAATCTTTGAAAATTATGTTTTTTGCTCATTAATAATAATAATACATTTTATTTGAAAGCGCCTTTCAAAACACTCAAATTATTATGTTTATGTTTTTTGCTAATTATGAGACGTAACCAAATGCTATCAACTCAAGACCATTTATTTTAGAAAACTGTTGTAAAATAATGAGGAAACAGTCTACACCTGGATATGAAATGGCTTATCATTCAGTGGTCAAACTATGCTTGAGCATTTTGCAGGGACTAAGTAACATTACAGAAACATTACGCTGCTGAAGTACAGCATAAGGGTCAGTGTAACATAGATATATCAACATAGATGTATCATAATACTCTGTTTAACAGTGAGTGAAATAAAGCCACCTTGTGGCCAGTCATCAATGTGTGTTCCTACCTCTCCTGGTCGGATCTTGATGTAGAAGTTGTTTCTTTTGTACGAAATCTTCAGGATCTTTGGCCACGAGAACCTGTTGATCCTCAGTCTATCTCTGTAGACCAGCAGACCACTATTGCACACACCCAGCATAATGGCCACACCCTCTGAGTCCTGCGCAAATACACAAAAACACCCAAGCTAACACAGAACTCTCCAGTCATGTTTATCATTGTAGATGGCTCCTAAAACCAAGAAAGTGTTTTAAAATATTTTCGGGCACTTAAATTGGGATTGAAATAACACTTTTGGGAGAAATGAATCGTGCTTATTTGGGAAGCTATTTGAAGCAGTAGCTAAAACATCTTTCTAAGTCAATTCCAGCAGTCTGTATTACATGAAGATGCAGCATCACCAGTTTGATTTAAAAAACAAAACAAAGCTTAGAAAATTTGCTTATTTGGTTTTTTCAATGTTTTTAGAGGTTCTTATAAAGCCGCTGGTATTTTCCTTTTCAGTGCAGGTCTGAATCTGACTTGGGCTGTTGAAATCTGCGGTTCTCAGTTTCTGTTGAAACTATATCGCTCAAAACTTCTTTAGACTGCAGTTCTATCTGGACACATGAGAGATTTAAACTGTGATTACAGCTCAGAGAGAATCAGAATATCAAGTGTTACATTAGACAAGCAGCCTCAGTTTTCTCAGTTGTGTCTTTTAATCAGCACTACTTGATGCTTAAAATGGGAGCATGGGGGTGGATTTAAGGCTTACTGTGAAGTCAGGAGCTGTTTATGAATAACTAACTCTACACAAAAACAGTAACATCCAGATGGAAATGTTAGGATTAACACACACATACACATTTAAAATACAACCACATATAAACACGCCTACACACAGGAAAGAGTCTTACCTCTGACTTAGCTGAAGACAGGCAAACAAAGCCGCTTCCTATCATCTACTCCATTCAGACAGACAGACAGATAACAAACAAATAAAAAAACAAAACAAACAAACCAAAAAACCGAGCAACAACAGAACAGCTGGTCTAAAGTTATACCAGTTTTATACCATTACAACACCATTGTACATAAAAACATTAAAGGGTAATGCTACCGTCCCTGCAAGCGCTAACCATCAGTGTTTAGCTTACTGTCATTCAGTGCAAGCAAGTTTCTTCATCTTTGTGGTGCTCTTTGTTTAAATGAAGCTGCTCACTGATCACATGTACATGCGCCACTTATAGCATGTTTCCATCAAACAGGATATCTTAGACAGGTGCACATATCTCCTACGGAGCATAATAACACCACGGCAGCAAAAATTTAAGTAATGACTTCAATGATATTTAACAAGTGGAAAAATACAACAGCGCGGGAGTGACGACTTTGTCTTTTACAGCCCGCAAAATTCTGATTTTGTGAAGCAGGTCATTTCATTTTATACGTTATAAATTTACAAAAGAGAATTCACAGACGTTGCAGCCTTGCTGGAGAAAAAAGTGGTTCTCTCTGTTTGTCAAATGGTTAATAACTGAATACAGCAAAAAGGTAAAATGAATTATCAGCATGTGCATGGACTTCTGTGCAAATTCACATCCAGTCTGCAACACGTTTTATTAACAACCAGTCACACAATTTCTTACTTAACTTGCCAAACAACGTACTAAGCCTAAAGGCCCTTCCACAGTAGAGTTACTGGGAGAGTAACTTTTGTTAGAAATGTATAGACTAAAACTCTCTGAGAAGATTCTTTGAATGTTTGAGTACACAGGTACATTTGAGCCATAGACCTTGGCCAGTATGTCCAGTCATTTTGCAGTTTTTTGCCTCAGCTTCATATTTTAATCCACTAATTCTCCACCCTCAGCTTCAGAAGTGTGCTCTTGTTCAGATGCTCTGCCTTTACTTCTATGCAATATTAGGCAGTGTCAGTGTTTAGCGGTCATTGGCTACTAAATTTTTATTTATTTTCCTATAAGTGTTTGCAACATATGGGATCCTTGCTATCGTTCTCCATTATATCAAAGAAACATGTAAAAAATAAAATAAAATAATGTAAATGGTAAAGTGGTAAAGTCAAGGGGAAAAAAGGCCTGTTGTTCTTGCATCAAGATTGGCTGGACACCCATTGAGTGGAATAGGTCCCAGCCCCTCTGCAATCCTGAAATAGATAAGCAACTATGAAAATGGATTGATGTATGAATGACTCGGGAGAACTAAGTAAGTCGAGATGGATTCAATCATCCAAGATAAGTGCACATGCTCGTGTCTTATAATAAATCCTGGAAACCATGATCAACAATTCTGTGATTGCAGGATTTGAGCTTTGCCTCAGCAGAGCACAAGCGCCATGGAAAATAGGATGAATCATGGTAAAGGTGGCATAAAAAAACAAAGGCAAAAAGGAGAAAATTGGAGTGACAAAAAGTAACAATAAGATGAAAATGGTAAATGGCCTGTATTTATATTGCGCTTTTCTAGTCCCTAAGGACCCCAAAGCGCTTCACACTACATTCAGTCATCCACCCATTCACACACACATTCACACACTGGTGATGGCAGCTACATTGTAGCCACAGCCACCCTGGGGCGCACTGACAGAGGCGAGGCTGCCGGACACTGGCGCCACCGGGCCCTCTGACCACCACCAGTAGGCGGCAGGTGAAGTGTCTTGCCCAAGGACACAATGACCGAGACTGTCCAAGCCGGGGCTCGAACCGGCAACCTTCCGATTACAAGGCAAACTCCCAACTCTTGAGCCACGATCGCCCCATCGAAAACAGTCATTATATAACTGGAATTAATTACATTTAATGGCATTTTCCTCTATAGCACAACAAGTATAAACTGCTGAAAGAAAGGGAATGTCATAAGTTTTTTTTCTGGTAACATGGTGAGGATATTACAGCCCAAGCACCTGATTTGTTTTTTGTTTTCATATGAAGTTGGCTTGTGTTTTTCCTTTACACATACAAAGTGATGAAAAATCTGCACAGGCCGACAGTTGTTCTGCCTGGAGCAAGGCCTGTTGTCCCAAAGGAGCTATGGAGGAGACAAAAGCTGGAGCTAAATGGAGAGCTAAGAGGAGCATATATCATCATGGGGATTGTACACTCACATTTCCTGCACCGTGGTGTGACCTTTTTTTTTTTTTTAACAGAGAGTTAATCTGAAGAAATGTGGAGGGATGGCACTAGCAGATAAACGTGGTATAATTCCAGACAAGTGCGGCAAAGTGATTACTCTGTGGCCTGAATATTGAACTGCTAGCTGTAGGATGCAACCATATTACTTGCTGTGGGAATTTTCTCCTGTCATTGCTCTGGCTGTTTGAATTCAGTTTGAATCAATATACTGGTTAGATTCCTCCATCAACTGGACATAGAGGTCATCTCCAAAATCCTCCAAAACTGTAGCTGCACTAAATGGTAACACACACGCACGCACACGGCAAAATGACACAAAATGCAGAGAATGACATCCATTCTTCAAAAATGTCATTCTGTGATGTGTGTTTCATACACAGTGAATCAGTGGAAAACAGCCTTGATGGAAAAACCATTACTGTCAACAAATATGCACACACATGCATACAAACACACTCACATGTAATTGACTCTTGACAGGAACTGGGCCATCCATATTGATCAGATTGTTGGGTCCAGAAACCAAAACACACTGTGTGCTTTCATGTGTTCATTCAAGGACGAACACAGTCTGAGCACATTTAATAATCGTGGGCTCAGGATAAAGAAGACGAACAGTGCTTCAATCTAGTCGAGTCTGACAACTGACATCAGTTAAAATTAACGGTCGAAGCCTCTGGATCCTAGCTTGGCTACCAGTAGTTAAATCTGTCATTTTCTTTCACATATACATGTTTTGTTCAGTGAAATCAGTAAGTGCTTTGCACCTGACCTGGGAATCCGCTGATTCTACACTGCTTAAAACATTAAATAACCACTTTGAAAACATATCAAATCTCAATATAAAAAATAAAGCATGCTGGTTGTCAGTTACTGATAAGGCCTGGGTAATGTGTTGGGAATGAAAGGATCAGCCTGCAGAGGCCTGAATTCAAAGACACCAGGAAAATCAAATTCTGTCACATAAGCTCAGGATGAACCAGCTCTCATCTGTGAAAAGCTAATACCAGCGGTGGCCCTGCCAGTTCTGGTATTCTGTGGGAAATGCCAGTCTCCATGGTACCGGGCAGTGAGGACTAGAGGACGTCGGGCCGCCCTCGTGACAGCCTCACCCTTTAAGAAAATGCTTTCTAAAGACCTGAACGAATCATGAATTGCTGTATCACTACAACATCTATTAAGAATATAATGTCGACACCTGTGTATTTATGAACTGCTGGACTCGTTCCATTTCATTTGTAAATGCTTCATGATGCATAGCTAGTCCTTGTCACACAAATACTAAATAACTGGTAGCTGCCTGAATTATCTATGACTTGCAATATTACTAAGTATTTAAAATGCCTCAATTTTATCTGTGTGCAGGTGGAAACATGCAGGTTTGGTATAGATAACCGATCACTATTGTGATGATTTAGGGTAGAAACTAAGTTGTTGCTATTTTTTTAAACAACAGGGCTTACTGTCAACAGTGTCTTTACCTTTGCATGATGGAGGTCGACTCCATACATGGAAAGTTTCTTTACATTTTCCAGGAAATGCATCTCTGCTTCAGCTGGAGTCATTCCTCTAAAAACACAGTCATACACTTAAAAAATTTTGCTGCTCTGAATATTGACACCGTTTAGAAAGAAATATGTGCGGTGAACAACCTGTAGGTTTTGTGCAGCTCTGTGATCTTCTCTTCCATTTCTTTAGTTTGATTCGGAGCAAAGCACAATTCACTGATGTAGTCTGCACCACAGTCATCTGAAATATGTAAACAGACGAACGAGCGGTCAGAGTGAGAGAGAAATGTGGACAGAGAGGTCACAGTAGTATAATAGGGCAGAGTGAGTACCGGGATCATAGTCTCCAAGCTCTGATTGGACTGTGTAGGAGCCGAGGATGGTGTGAGTTGCAAACGAACAAGGAAGACGACCAGAAACTATATCCTGTCTGAGCTGGAGACACAGGAAGTACCTGAAGGCAGAAAAATTTATCAGCGTCATCATACATGGAAACAAGTGAGACATGCACTATAAAGCTTTGATTGACAGGTGTGTGAGCCTACCTGGTGATGTCCTCAGACAGCTGTGCAGGATCAGGAGGGTAAAACTTCACATTAAAAGAGAAGTTCCAGGGAACACCTGTGAGACACACAGCGATGAGTTGTATAACACACAGGGTTAACCTGCCCAACTTGCTGTGGGACCATACTGACCTCTGACCTGCTTCTTCATCTCCTTTCCTGGATCCAACCAGTTCTACAATGAAAAGGTCAGAGGTTAGAAAGACAGGTGGAAGACAGTAAACAGATGGACGGGTGGACAGGTACCTTGTTATTGTCAGCATCTCTGAAGGACAAAGCGAAGTAGTCTCTCTCTAGCAGGTTTATGTGTTCACAAACCTTCTCAAACAGCTGCAGACCTCGAGCTCGTTTCTAAGCACAGACAGAAATAGGTCAGTGATTTTACTGTTTATCATTTTGGGCTCTCTCCCTCCTGATTGTTATTTCTGTTGTGATTTATATCTTTTATTGGTACTCCATCTGTCTTCACTCTTTCCTCATCTCCATGCCCCTTTACATGAACAAGCCATCTCACCTCCACGGTGCAGGTGAACATGGAGCCATCTAGCAGGGTCACTCTGGCCTGCATTGTTCTAAAGCTCAGTGGGTTTCTAGCGGGAGAGCGAGCAATCCAGCTGCTTGACGACAGGTTACTGGCTGAGTCCTCTGCCAAGGAGCTCTGAGCTTGGGACACCCCACCCTTCTCACCCTAAGGAAGCAGGAAGTGATGTCACAGCAGTATTGATCTCATGATGTTTACTGATCCTTCTATCCTTTGTGTTTTTACCTGTTTCGGTGTGGAGTGGTTGGCAGCTTCAGGGAAAGACTCCGCCTCTGTGGGCTGGGCTTCACCTAGCTCTGTCGTCATGGTGAGTCACCTGCCATATATTAATAACATGGTTACCATAGAGTTTTGTGGTGTTAAAGCACGAGAAAACACTGTCTGAATGTCACATAAACGCTGGGTTCAGATATAGTAGTAATAAACATTATAATGTGGTTGAAAGGAGTAGAAAAGGACCAAATAACTGCTGGCTCAATTTTTTTTTAAAAAGGTAAATGATAAGCTGTGCGACACACTGCATTTAGCAGTATTTTCACACTTTAACAATAAAGCATCAGTCACTGCCGGTCAAAACGTCACAAGTTCAAATATTGGTGATGTAGGATAACCAGTCAGTGTTTTCACCAAAGATATTTTATTTACAGTCACAAGAGAAACAAGTAAACCTGATTCAAACACAAAGTTTGAATTTGATTGAATAATACACGATTATTCTGTCTCATCAAACTGAACAGCCTGACCCCCATCCAGCTGTGAGGTGATGGTTTGCCATGGCAACATGAGGGAGCGGAGGGAGGGATTAAGGCTAAAATACAAGCTGATGTAATGTGGTTTGGAGTCTGACAGACAATGGCGATGATGTTGTTGTTTTTCTTTTTATTCATTGCTTTTATCACATCCATAGAGTCCATAAAATTACTGTGTTAACCGGCTTGCACAGAGTGCATGAAACTGTATCCTAAATCAATATTCAAACTTAATAATAACTTGAACCAAACTAAACCAGAATGAGTTCAGACTGGATTGAGGTTATTACTGAACTGTTTAGGGTCAAGTTGTTCTTCAGTACGATAACAGAAATTACACACATCATGTTTCCTGTAGGTACTCTGTATTCTGCACTGGGAGCGCACAAATACACTCCAGGCACCGCTCAAGCTCCTGCCCTTTTGGCCTCTTATTTCATAAGCGCCTTTTTTGTGACACAGATTTTTTTTTAGTTTCTATTTCAATGTTTTGATATTAAATTTGGCTCATGGAATCAGTTTCTAAACAAAATGTCTGTTTTTGCATCTTGTGAAGTCCTTGTGGATCCTCTTCACTATATCACACAAATGTAGAAAATAATATTTGAATGTAATTACATGAAAAACGAACTTTGTTCCATGGTCAAAACATTTGGCACCCAATGATGTGCAAATACTTGGACGTTAGAAATGTTGTGATCAGTGGCAGGTGCAAGAATACATCAAAGTGTGTGCAAGTCCATGAGAAATGAACGGCAGCATGTATTAAAACGTGAGTATTAATTAAATACAATGATAAACATTTCTGAAGCTAGACAGAAATGCATCAGTTTTTGCAATGATGCACCAACTACTTTGGATCATTTGTGAATATTACCACACATGCATAAGGACAGTCTGAACATTGAGTGAGTATATAAAGCTAGCTCCAAGTACTGGTCATTTAATATGTTCACATATTCGCTTTCTGCTGTTTATCTGGGAAGCAGCTCCCAAATGACCAAGCTCCTCACGTTACCTCTAATCCTGAGCCCAGGCACTCTTTCAGCCCTTCTCATTATTTCGATTACTACACAGAGCTTGTTGAGAGTATGAATGTAGATCAACGGGTAAATTGACAGTCTCACTTTTGTACCTAGCTCGCTCTTCACCACAACAAACTGATACAGAGTCTGCACCACTGCGCGTCAGTCTTCTGTCATCTGCCACTCAAATCTCCCCACACTCGTAGCCAAACTTCTCTACCCTTTTCCAACTGAGAAACATTGCCAAAGACTTCTCACTAATAATCACCCAAGTCACTTCTAATTTAGATGCAAATGACCCAAGTGCAAGCTGGAGGTTATTGCTTGATGAAGCCAACAAAACCACTTCATTGGCAAAAAACAGAGATGAGATCCTGAGGCCACTAAACCAGACCTTTGAAAAACTCAGGACGAAATCTCATCCAACCACAGGCACTGCCACTAAGGAGTTGTTTAGCTACCTCAGGGATCTTTTGGAGGCTGTGGATTAGATGATAGTGAGTCATCTACTAGTTGGAAGGTCAGTAAATTGATTTGAGTTGACTGAATTCGAGTTGTGCTAAATGACAAAGACTCATTCGGTCTAATGAAAACATGTTGGAAATCTGTCTGCATTTACAAATTACATAGCAGTTGTTTCCAAACCTTCAACAGTCTCTCTGAGAGTGAGTGCAGTCTGTCAGTCAGGCTGCAGCTGAGAGGTTGCCTCCTATCGCCTTACAATCAGAGGTGCTTGTTAGTTTTGCATTAGTTATGCAAAACATTGCCCACAATGACATAAGCCCAAACATGTCTGAGACCAAGAGCAGCAGGTCTCAAGGTAAAAAGGTCATGTTAGTAATGTTTTTCATACAAAGCTTTTCTGCACTTTTCTCTATACTTCGTCTACATAAGAGAGCACCTTAAGGTTCAGTATCGTGCCCAAGGGTACTTTGGCATGGAGACTGAAGCAACCAGCAATCAGGGTCAGTACATGACAGCCACCCACCAAAAAAAAGGGGTTGGTCTAAAAATACTATGCAAGAACAAGGTAACATGGTGGGAAAGGTGGTTTTTAAGTAACCGTTTAAAAAGAAAATAAACCTAGATGCAACATCTCAGGTAGAAAATATTCTTCAGTTTCTGAAGAGTTAAGTTACTTTATGTATTGTTAATGTGTTAAAATAGTTATGATACATTTTTACTTAAATTTTCCAGCACCTGGGATATTTTAGTGCTTACATTTGACCTGCGCTTTATTGCACCTGCATCCTGACAAATTTTCTCATCGAGTTAAGTAGTCTGTCATCAGTGAACTTATTGGAAAAGACAGAAAATGCCCTTCTTTTTGTTTGCACTGATCCTGCCTGCACTCACTGATAAGACATGTTTCAGTTTTTCTTTTTCTATATTATCAAAAATATCATTACATCAAATTTTGTAGCAGCTATTGTATGGTGACAGCTGTCTTTAATATTGACGTTGGTCCCTGACACGAAGAGAAAAGAATCTTTTTTTAAAAGCACTTCAGTCCAACATAGTCATTAACCATGACCTGGCAAATAAATACATCATTTAGTTTACTGGGTTCATTAGAGGTCACATTTATAGCAGAGCTGTTGCACTAAATTCGAATAGTTTACACAGACCGGTGTACCTAATAAAGTGACAGATTTTCACAATATCAGCTGATTCATCGAATCTGCTGCCAGCATCCACAGACACAGAGCCTAAACCGGGTTTGTTTAATATATCACATTCATTCTGGATCAATTACTGGTGTGATTTCATATAAAAAGATTTTTTATATCCTACGGCGGTTTTTCCGGTGGACGAGACTGTCCCGGCGTGTTTGAGTCTTTGTGGTCCTGCAGCAGGAAACAAACACACACCCTGAGCTGCAGTGTGATGAAGTACTAATGATGCTCCTTCGCGCCGTCTCTCTTATCATCGATAACAAACTGCTCATGGCTTCAGTCACTGATCACTGAACAGTAATCGCTATTCTTTCTCCCGCTCTTAAGTAAATCATCCCGTCATCTTTACCTGTCCTGAGCAGGACGCTTGCCCTCTTCCTCCCGGTAACGGACAGCTTTTTTTCCTGATCACGTCATCTCTCACTACGACACACCGTGTCGCCGTGGCGAACCGCTGACGTCAGGACGCAAGGTGCTTTCAGATGTAATTTGTTTTTTAAATAAAGATGAAAACAGTGTTACGCTGAAGAGTACGGACCCCCAAGAGTGCCAAAATAAAATAACTAAACACACCATTAGCCCTTTATTTTCCGAGATTCATACAATCCTAATATCATCCATTTGAACCATTTTAATTTTCTATATAGCCCGAAATGGTAAATAAAAGGTTAAGAAATTGGTTAAACGTGTTGTTAATTAATTAAAATTGAAAATGAATAACTTATTGATTAAAAGCATCATTTTTATTTTAAAAAGATGTAAAATTATTTCGCCTTTTAATTCTTATATATGGTCCCAGTGCTGCAGCGCTTCTTGGATTTATTTTTATCTGACAACTTCACCCATCGCTCTGCAGTTGCTCTTCCTTGGGTGTTTCTCAATACCAGCTACAAAGAGTTTGTACTCGCTACTTCCTGCTTGGAAAGTGCACTCAGGAGTGCAGACATCTGATTATAGGGGGACTGTGAGACAGTAGTATACTAGAGGATACCAGCTCAGCTTTACTATGTGCTTTACTAGTTATTTAAAGTTTTCCAAAGCCCCACAAAGCCAAGCTGGCAGCACCCACCAGCCCCCAGTCATTCCCCGGTTGCACCGCTGCCAACACCCAGCACCACATCCCCCCCACCTAGAACCAAGAGACGACACAACAGATGCAAATATGGAGCCCCTGCATAGCTGCCACAGCACCTACCCAACCACAGCAAGCTAACCCTCATGGAAACACCAGGAGGCACACCAGGCCAGCCCCCACCCCCAACACCCACAGAGGTCCAACCCCCAGAAGGACTGGGAAGCGAACAGCAAGAGTAAAAGAGTTAGAGACGCAGGGGCCGATGGCACAGTTCCACCTGATTGTGTGGAGGGATTGGTGAGTTGCATTATCATGGCAGTTGGGGTAGAGGAGAGCAGGCAGTCAATACACATTATTGCCAGTCAGACAGTCAGATGGTAGGGTCTGTGCTGCAGTGACAGTTCAAATAATTTCATGATGGACTGAAGCACAGGAAGCATGAAACAATTCAAATAGCGTAACAATCAAATATGCCTTAAAATAAGTTGATCGTTTAATAAGTTAATGCTAAACTTAAAAATTGTGTTTTTAATAAAATGTTATTTATTTATTTCTACTGTAATTGCAATTAACACAACGACACATTTAATTAACTATTTAATTATGCTTTTGTATGTTGCATTTAAACAGGAGGAGTTATATAAAATTTATAATTAATAACCTATGTGATGAATGATTTAACAACGCCATGTGTTCTGTGCATAGACTGTAAATAAAAGACTCTGGAAAATTCAGTCCCTGAAACCTGCATTATTTCCCGTCTCATCGCAAAATGTATGGTTGTATAGAACTTGATGAGAAAACAATGCAAATGCTGGTCTATTTATTACTATTGATTTTTAAAATAAACATTTTATTTATACAAAGCTTGGCTCTGCAAGATGTTTGCAAGAATTCAAATGTGCATGTACTACTCTATATCTGTCCAAATCTTAATTCAATAAAATCTGAATATGTAAAATAATCTATAAATTAAAACGAGATAATAGGTTAGAATAGTTTTTAAAAAATAAATCATCCTCATGCGTGTAACGCGCAGGTCTGTCTGCACAGCTGCCATGGTGTGTGTGTGTGTGTGTGTGTGTGTGTGTTTACTTACCAATACAGTTGAAACAGGAGGTGATCCATCCAGAAAAAAGAAAAGGAAAAAAAATTTATATTATTGAGTATTTATCAGTGAAACATCATGTCATAGTTACGTGCAAACTTTAAAGTAAATTCAGAAAAAAACAAATGTAATGTGTCGCAAAACCATTCCTCTGAAACCACACTGCTGAATTCAAAGACAGAATAAAAACGCATAAATAATACGCTGCTTCAGTTCAGCACCATCCTGAAATGTGTTCCCATAACAATATGTAAATGAGACAATTTGATATATGGTAAAAAAAAAAAATCACTAGTTACTCAGTTATGCATCAAAGAGGTGTGTAAAAACCTTGTCGTGACACGATTTAACATAATTGTCCAAACACAGTGAGAAAGTTATGAATATAATCAGCTAGGGTAGACTAATATATTCATGTATTTACAAAGTCACCTACCCATTATAATGGCAATCAGTCATTCGTCCCACCAGAACACACAAATCTCGTTTCATATTATGAGTACAGCTACAAAGATGAACTGTACAGATCTAAATGTCATGAACGTCTGTTGAGTCAGTGCACTGATTCAACAGCAGAATGTTTCCTGGTTGAGCTGCTGTTTGACTTTTGGGGACAGGAGAATTACTATCAATATGAAATTCTCCTACATATGTCAATGCAAACATTTTTCAGTCTCATTACATTTTTCATTCTTCGTACAAGAGAATGGTTTACTCAACCTTCCCTCGTACTGCTCTATCTTACCTGTGCTTACAGTCTCTCTTCTGAATCATGCTCAACTCTTGCTGAACATTTCAATGTTTCTGCCATTCCTTGAAAGTCTCCTAAACGATTCTGCTCATACTAATCCAGTTTGTTTAGCTCCTCAATGACACTGGATACTTCGTTTAGCCAAACTGGATTACGTCTTCCTAGGTGACCATCTGCTTTTTGGTTTGATTCCTGGCTGCTCTAGTCTACATGGCAAATATCCTTGGGCAAGATACTAACCCCAAGTTGCTCACTGACACATCCATCAGAGCGTGAATGTTAGATAGAGAGCACTTAAGCATGAAAAAAGGTGCTGGTGTGAACGTGTGAATGGGGCATGTTGCATAAAGCACTTTGAGTGCTCAGGAAGAGTAGAAAAGCACTATATAAGAGCCAATCCGTTTACACCTTGGACTAACACAGCAGATGGTTAGAAAGAACACAAGTGGTGCCTTTCAACAACCACTGTCTGCCATCTACAATGCAGTCTTGAGATCTCTTACCAGACACCTCAACTCCCCTTTGGACTTTGTCAGGTGAAATTCAGTAGGTGACAGGTGACGGGTTGGGTAAGGTCTCATAGCAGTTTCACCCAAAACCTCTGGTTGTAATGGCCCACAACCTTTTTTAAATACCTGGAACTTTCTGCCTTTTGGATGAGAAAAACAAGTTATAAAAAACCTTAAAGAAGTCCAGCTGTCTTTGTCCAGCTCTTAAGACTATCACCCTCCCTTAGTTATGCTGCAATAGGTGTGGGTTCCTGGAGGATTCCCATGATGCATTGAGTGTTTCTTCTTCAATCACCTGTCTCACTCACTATGTGTTAATAGACCTCTCAGCATTGAATCATGCCTGTTATTAATCTCTGGCTCTCTTCCACAGCATGTCTTTATCCTGTGTTCCTTCCCTCACCCCAACTGGTTGCGGCGGATGCCCCCTCTCCCTTTCCTGAGCCTGGTTCCACTGGTTCTTCCTGTTAAAGGGGAGGTTTTCCTCCCCACTGTCGTCAAAGTGCTTGGGGGTCATGTGAGTGTTGGATTTTCTTTGTATGTATTATTGTAGGGCAGGGGTCTCCAACTCCAGGCCTCGAGGGCCGGTGTCCTGCAGGTTTTAGATGTGTCCTTGATCCAACACAGCTAATGAACTCAACATTTGATTCAGGTGTGTTGACCCAGGGTTATATCTAAAACCTGCAGGACCCCGACCTCGAGGCCTGGAGTTGGAGACCCCTGTTGTAGGGTCTGCCTTACAATATAAAGCGCCTTGAGGCGACTGTTGTTGTGATTTGGCGCTGTATAAATAAAATTGAATTGAACTGAATTGAATCATGATCTGGATGACTGAGAACTTCAACAGAAATATGTGAATTCATAAACTGTTTTGGAAAAAAGATTGGAAGTACAGCAGGGGAAAATTTCAAATAGTTGAGTCTGTAATTGACGTATTCATTTACTCCCAGCAAATTTTTGTCCTAGAAACACCAAACAGGATTTTTATTATCAGACGTTTTGAGGGTTCTGCTCATTGTGTTAGCTGTTCCTAGACAGAGACCATGTTGAGCCACTCTCCTTGTTTTGTATCAACGAGGAGATTTCCATGGAGTTACTAACCCAAAACCTGGCATATCTCTGCATGGTGTGTCCTTAAAGCTTTGAGGAAACTAAAAACGGAAAATGATTCCCTTGGGAAAAGGCTGAAGTTTGCCAAATTTCACTAGAACTGGATTGAAAATCATAAATGTGCTCATTGCTGTTGTAAGAGTATGTGACCTGTTGAAATTGTGTCTACTGTAACCCAAAGTTGAGGCTCTGTCATGTTTTGAAGATGCACTTAACTCTGAGGTCTAAGCCATCGTTGGTAGTAACCGTTACGCTACACTAACCCTGTATCTTGGAGAAAAGCACCTGCTCACCTGACTACCACAGGACTCAGAGCCTCTAGTTGTTCTGCCCTGAGACTTTGGAAAGCACCACATCTCCGAACTACAAACTCTCTCTACCTTTAATTCATGTCTTAAAACCCATCTATTCAGAATTGCCTTCCCTTCATCATGACTTTGGTCTATTTTTTACCATGACTAGCTTTTGTAGTTGGTTTTTATTTTGTTGTACTAATGTGAGGTGACCTTGAGCCTCTTTAAAAGTGCCTATAAATAAAATTTATTATTATTAATAATAATAATAATAAAAGCAAAACAGACATTTTTTTTCTGTGATTGTCAAGACTTAGGAGAACAATGAAAAAAACATCTACAATTCTGACTGTCTGTGGTTAACGTAAGGTAAGTAAGTCAGTGCTTAAAGAAATAAATATGGCTAAACATTATCACCAAAATGTCAGCTTAAGGCTGACACACACACACACACACACACACACACACACACACACACACCTTTAAAATGTCCTATT